CGGCCGGCGGCAGCGCTCCCGCCGGTCCCGGGCGCCGCTCCCCGGGAAACGGGGCGCGGCCGCAGAGGAAACCTCAGGAACAAGTTCTTACACACGTGTGTGTGTGTCTCTGTCTGTCTGTTGAGATATGTAACCTGCCGGGAGCCGACCCCGGCTGCCGCAGAGGGGTGCCAGGCGGGCGGTGCTCCAGAAAGGGGGGGTTCTTGCCAGGCTTTCCACCGGCGCTTCAGGAGCGCCCCAAAACGGGAGGGTCGCGTAGACCCTCTTGATCTCTCTCGGCTGAGTGGACTTAACCCCCCCGCTTGCTGGGTTGGGTTGTTTGTCAAGTCAGGAAATGAGTTTGGTGGTGGCACCCTGACCAGCCACCTCCTCAGGAGTGCCCGGGACACCGTGACATCTCCTCTCTGTACTGGAATGTGCACTTTTCAGATACGTGTTTTCTACTCCATTTCTTTTAATTGTGGCCTCCCTCGGTTTGTTTCCAATACCAAAACAAGGTGGAGAGTCATTTCTCAAATTAGCTCCACAATCTTCCTGAACTTGGGATGCAGAATTCCCTGTCTTGCTGCACTAGTAACTGTTCTGGGAGGCATGACTTTAGCAGTCTCTACTAATTTAAATTTTATTAACGTTATAGTTGTAGAAATAAAAAAAAGATGCTTCATTCCAGTTCATTTTAAAGGTTAAGCTAAAAAAATCAGAGCACTACTGTTGGCTGCATATAAAGCACAGAAGTTCTAATGAACTTACTCTTAAGTACTCTCTTCTTTAATGTAATCCTACGTATTGGACACTTAGCTGACACATCAATTTCAGTAAATCAAGCTTTTTTTTTAACTTGGGAAGCTAACATTAACACTTGCTCAGGTGTCTTGTCCTCCTTTTTTAAAAAAATGCTTAGTACCCCTAAGTTGTAATTTGGTAAGAATTGATATTCAGGTGCCTGAACACACGTTTAAGTTAAAAATATAACTGATACTCTCTTAAGCCCAACAAATGCCTTTGGTGAGTTTTAACGGTGCTAAAATGCTGTGCAAAAAATCTGAGGCATGATAAATTACCTTTTTCAGGATCAAAGCCCTTTCCTCGCTACGGATATAAACCATCACCGCCGAATGGTTGTGGATCCCCTCTATTTGGAGTTCAGGTAAGTATTTCCATTTTGGGGCTTCTTTGTGTGTCTTTCATACATCAGCTTTCCGTGATGTGGGTGGTTTTTTCCGTCCCCCATTCTGAGGATGAGACAGCATCCATGTACAATGTCCCTGCTTGTATCAGCTCCCACACAAGCTTTGGTAACAACATATGGAAGATGTTAGTATTATAAACGAACATAACACAAACATTTCCATCATTGGCATAAAATATTATAGGGATAAAATGGAATGTTGATGATTAATTCTATTTTTTTAATGTTTGATTTAGTGTTTTGTTCTCACGATCTTCAAAGTGTTGAATAACCCCAACTGTAGCCCTGTGAGAGTGGAGGATTTGGCTCTGACTCTTGTTGTCCTCGCTGACACTAATCCAATTGCCTTAATGCTAGAAAAAAAATATGGGTTAGTTTATGTACTGGGTCTGGCTGGGATGGAGTTAACTTTCTTCATAGCAGGCTGCATGGCACTGTGTTAGGGATTTTGGGCAAAAACAGTGTGTATGGTTTTGGCTATTGCTGAACAGTGATTGCACAGCTTTGGGACTTTTTCCCCACTCTGCCCATCCACCACCCCAGAGTGTAGGCTGGGGCTGGGCAAGAGGTTGGCAGGGGACAGAGTTAGGGCAGCTGCCCTGAACTGGGCAAGGGATATTCCGTACTGAGCATACAGGCATGCTCAGCGATAAGAGCTGGAGTAGTGGAAGAAGGGGAGGTGTGGGGGGTGTGGTAGTGTGTGTGTTTGGCTTCCGAGGTGGCTGTTGCTCAGAGGCTGGCTGGGCATCCATCTGCATGTGGGACATGGTGAATGACTGCTTTTTGCACTGCTTATTTTGGGGCATTTTCTTCCTCTTTCATTCACTTATTAAACTGTCTTTATCTCAACCCGCAAGTTTTCGTGCTTTTGCTCTTCCTGTTCTCTCCTCCATTCCGTGGAGGGGGTGGGGGGCAAGCAGCTCTGTGGGTGCTTGCCTGCTGGCTGGGGCCAAACCACCACAGCTTACTAGAGGGGAACAGCAAAATACAGAGATAAGTGAATGACAGCTGGATTGATTGCATTAGTTTTTAATTTCGAACTGTTACAGTCTATTCATAGGCTATATCTTTCTTAACTGGAATACCAATGGAGTTTGCGTGGGGGGATTTTCTTCACAGTTTGACATTGGTATCCCTTCGATGACAAAGTGCTGCAATCACCACGACAGATGCTACGATACTTGTGGCAATAAAAAGAATGATTGTGATGAGCAGTTTCAGTCCTGCCTCTCCAAAATTTGCAGAGATGTGCAGAAAACGCTTGGAATCTCAGAAAGTGTCCAGGGTAAGTGTGAAAAAAAACCTTTCTTTTCAAGTTTAACCGAGCTTATATGGCAAAGAATCTTTGTGCAGCACAGTAATGCACATTTTTCATAAGCTGATGCTGTTACTGAAAGATGCCTTGTTCTGTCCCTGCCATGCAGCCCAGACACTTTTACAGTAGAGCAATGACAGTGTAGAAAAAAGATCAGGGTTAAAACCTTGAGGGGAAAAAATAATGCTTCCCATTTAGGAGTATGAATAAGGGAATACAACTTCATCAAAACGCATGCATAATTCAATTGCATTTACTGTAGCATAGCTTAATATTCACTGTTCTGCTGGGTGATTTCTAAATCTCTACTACATGTGATTGCTAGTAAACTGTATGAAAATATTGAATTGTTTCCTTTTACGAAATAAGATATTAGAATAATATATTGTCATAGTGGAAGTAGTTAATGCTATCCCTTAGTGAATAAATTTTAGGTTTTTTTAGTAACAGGCCATATGATACTCCTTCTGGTTGTTGGCCTGCATCTGACGAATACCTGACATAACCACACTTTTTAAGTTGGACAATTTCACTTTTACAATAAGTAGTCCCACTGAGAGCAGTTAGTTTTCAGAACAAGCCTATGTTTGAACTTCTGAGATTCATTTAACTGCAAGTAAGTCTTCATGTTAGTGTTTAGTGTCAGAACTGATAAATATTTGTTCATTTCTGTTGACCTGCTGTTAAAGATAGCAACCTCTGCGTAAATTGGGATGCAAAAAGTGAGGGGGTAAAACAGCTCTTTCATCTTTCCAAGGTTAAGTGATGTTTCTAACACTGATGACATGCCATATGCAATGAATTTTCTTTTTCATTTTGTTTGGCATACGAAAAATCTTACTCACGACTTAAACGATTCTGTATTGGTTCAGTCTTTCATTTGACAATCTATTTGCTATGCCCAGAGAAGATTGCTTCTTTCTTGGAGTCATTCTCCGTTTGCCTGAGTAATTTCTGTTAGTTTCATATTCCATTCAAAGAGTACTTTTAACTGAACATCTCTTTGCTTGCAGCTTGTGAATCAACTGTTCAGCTGTTGTTTGATGCGGTTATACATTTAGGATGTAAACCATACCTGGATAGCCAGAGAGCTGCATGTATGTGTCGTTACGAGGATAAGACTGATCTCTGAAAGAAGATACCGAGATCTCATGGTGTAGAATAAAGTCAAAGACTCGGCTGGAATGAAGCAAGTGTTTGGTTACAAAGCTTTACACTTTTCAGACAGTAATATATTAAACACTGACATGAATATACTGGTTTGAAAGTCACTGTGATATTCTTCCTAATGTAAAAAAGAAACAAGTCATCCTTCTCTTCCCCTTTATGCCAGAAGCTTGGAAACTGAAGTTAGTTTCCTTTGGTGTATGTCCACTCAGGGTATGCTATTGTAAAACACTAGTGCCATTTTAAAGTTTTTAAGAAAACCCCATAATGGGGAAATCAAAGGCACAGAAGAGTTGTATTTAATTCTCAGATGATTTTTAATATAGGTCAAATTTTAGGTTTACTACCAGTCAATGCATCTGATAGATCCAACAGGAAAGAGTGTTTTGTGGGCGTTAATGTGGCATCTTAAGTAGCCTGTACTTTCGTGCTTGTGGTACAATTGCCTTCAGTTCTCTCTGATGTATACTGTCCTGTGAGTTTATTTTTAAAAAAAAAACAAAAATAGACAAAAAGCCCGAAGCCCTTAGCAAGGGTATACATCTGTACCACATACTTCTAGTTGATTCTGTATCAACCTTACTTCTGCAGCACTTTCACATCAAATATATTGATCCTTTTAAGGCTTGACTACTAAAATGAACAGTTTGCAACCTAAGGATATACTTTTGATTTGACAAAACAGTGGAATGTAGTTGCTATGTTATTTTAAAAATGAATCAAATGTTTATTTTTCAAATAAAACATTTTGTGTTGTGTATTATATGCATAGAAAGGATATATTGTTCAAAGAAGTTGATTTATATTTGTCTTGTGGCACAACTTGGTTACTGTATTCATCTTTGCTTTCATTTAGTCCATTCTGATGAAAACTAAAAGAAAGTTCCACAGTTAGGGTTAGTATGCCCAGCAAACCTTTTTATTTAAAAATGCCCTCTGTGAGGCTGACAGATATTTCAGCCTGTATTTCTCTCGTCTGTTCCCTCTCTTGACTTCTCTAGCTGAAATCACCTGATGTCTCAATTATTTGGGGTTTGTTCTCTGTACTGATCTTTCATTGCTTATCTCCAGTTGTCAGTCCTTAGTTAACTTTGGCATTAGGTCCCTTGTTGTAACGATGTTGATTTGCTCTCCTGCTGCCCTGGTTCTGCCTTAGAAATCCACAGGAGAGAACTGAAAATTAAAATATTGCATCTGTGAACAAGAAGTGGAAATCATGCTAAAAGCCTAAAATTTACCAGATTCATGGACTATAATGTGATTCCTCCTCTGGAAGTACTTTTATATATTTTTTCTTTACCAGTTGTTTGTGGTATTTTTGTTTTGTTTTTTCACTAGAACTTACTGTATTGTGACAGTGAATGTAAGTGCCTCATAGAATAAAGTTCCTGATAAAGTTCTTTGGCCATGCTTCCTTTTCATATTTGTGGATATGAAGTAGCACTGCAAGAGAAGTATTACTATAGAGTTTTATCAAAGCGTGCTTGAAGAACTTGTAGTTCCTCTAAATTTGGTGAAATATATTTTCTGCCATAGAATTGAAACAACTCTGAATTACCCTGGAATTCCATGGTTGGAACCCTAAAAGTCTTTTAGCACCAAAGCAGGGAATGGTGATGGCATTGCTTTTTTAAAGTACCACAATGAGTCCAAAACACTATAATTCAGCTAGATGACTGTTGAGTTGGGTAGAAACAAGCTTAAACTAGATGTTTAAACGAATACAGAAAATTTTTCACTGTTGGAAAGAGCTGGGTTTTGTTCCCTTCTGTATTGGCCTGTAATTATACCATGAAAGCCTTCCAGAGTTTCCTTCAAACCATCTGTAACACTAAAAAGAGCTTTAACACTGCTGGATAGCGCTTTGATAGTTCTGCTTGCAAAGCAGAGGAGGCATTTGACTTCCTCCAGGGAGTCTTTACTTTGTGTAAGCTTTTCCCGTAGCAGAAATCCTTGATTATAGTTACCCGCAAACTATACAAAATATATTTTACAGGTGTCCTGGTTTCAGCTGGGATCGAGTTAATTTTCTTCCTATTTGCTGGTATAGTGTTATATTTTGGGTTCAGTATGAGAAGAATGTTGATAACACAATGATGTTTTCAGTTGTTAAGTAATGTTTAGACTAAGTCAAGGATTTTTCAGCTTCTCATGCCCAGCCAGCAAGAAGGCTGGAGGGGCACAAGAAGCTCTGAGGGGACACAGCTAGGACAGCTGACCCAAACTGGCCAAAGGGCTATTCTAGACCATACGACATCACGCTGAACAATAAAACTGGGGAGAGCTGGCTGGGGGGTGGCAGCCTGCTGCTTGGGGACTGGCTGGGCATCAGTCAGCAGGTGGCGAGCAACTGTGTTGTGCATCAATTGTTTTGTGTATTCTTTTATCATTATGATTATTTTCCCTTCCTTTTCTGTCCTATTAAACTGTCTTTATCTCAACCCACCAGTTGTTTTACTTTTTTTTTCTGATTCTCTCCTCTATCCCACTGGGGGGGCAGTGAGTGTGGCATTTAGCTGCCTGCTGGGTTAAACCACAATACTATATATAGCAGCTCTTGGCATTTGACTCAATATTGCATGCTTTTATGTAGTCAGTAATAGTCTTAAGTATTGCAGTGAATTTTTTTTTTTTTACAGGTTAAAGTCTTAATATAATTGCCGTCCTCAGGCTGTTTTGCTTTCCTGGATGATCTGAATAACAGCAGTGTCCCCACAATCAAACTTTCTTCTTCAAACTGCAGTTCTGATATATCCATAATGCTTTTTCCAAAAGCATATGGTGGAGCATTGCAACAATCTGAAAGTGTTTCACAACATGTACATGCATGTATAACAAAAACTTTCATATACTAAAATCAGCCGGAAATGCACACCAGTCAAAGGCTACCTTAGGCTTCATACATTGTGATCAAGTTCCTGGTGACTCATATGAACACAGTGGCTGACTGAGCATGCTCTTAGCCTCCAGCAAAACAAAGTGTAATAGATGTTTCATTGTCTTATTAGGATCTAAGTGAACTGTTGGACTCGGGAACATGGCTGATACAAGTTCAAACTGCTGAACAGAAAGCTGCTACAGACTCCCAGATTTCAGTTCTACAGCTGCTACTTCACACAGGATTCTTGCTGCCAGTGGGTTTAAGGGCAGCTCTAGTGTGAGCTGAGAGATCTGGGATTTGCAGTTTGCAAAAAAATGAATCGGCTTAATAAGAGTGTAAATGTTTTACAGTGGAAGATGCTAAACTCTTATAATAGTATCATGTTCTAACCAAAGTATACACAAAGACAATTTAAACAACAGTTTTATCTTGATCTAGCTGCCTACTGGCAGTCTGAGGATAACAAGTCCAAACATGAGGAAAACAAGCAAAAGTAATTAGAAATACCCATTGCTCCTTTAACTAAAAGGGAGACATCTTGTCTAAAAGATGTAGTCATGCAAGAAGCCTGTCTAAAAACAGGCCAAACAGGCTGGGTAAAAATACCTAAAATTGCACTCTAAATCCACTTACTTTTGTGCTTGTAGCAGCAATCTCTATGAGCGTATTCACACCTGAGTACTCTAGAGCCTACATAGAAATAGGCTGGATAGGAGATTCAGATCCATCCACGGTACAAATCTGCAAAGCTCTTATATAGAAGCATGTTCTTTGTCATTTGCTTTGGTTTAGAAACTGTTGCTTCTTATGCAATCAATCGGTGAACACTAAGTGCCATATAGGGAAAAGGCTGGGAATATCAGCGTTTGTTAAGACACCCTGGCGCTGGTCCCGTCACAGTTCTAAGATCATCAAAGAGAATGATGCAAGAATAGAGCAAAGCTGCAAAAGTATACATCCAAACCTCTCAAAGGCTTATATGTGGGTGCCCAAATGAAAATGCATTTTGAGTAACAGTAGTCTTTTGGCTTCTAGTACAGTTTTGAAAAAAATCTCAATATAGTAAACGCAGTAGCTTCTCACTATATTTCAGGATGATGCCTTTGTATATGACAGTGCAGTTGCTGAAACACGGTCACTAAAGTAACACATCACAGGAATACCGATAATGCATGACAAACTTTAAAAGCAACAGGAAGACGCTTTCACACATCACCCTTCCATCCTCCCGGCCGAGTTTCGACCTACGACAGCCGGCCCTTGCAATCTCCCGAGCAGGAGAGACCCCACCAAGCCGCTGGCATTACGGATCTACCTTCTGGCTGCGGCGGTGTCCCCGCAGCCCCAGGAAGGCCA